AGTAAAAAAAATGTACATACAATAAAACATAAAATAATAATGTAAAAATTATGTTGCTAACTATTTTGTAGCTACATATGTATATTTGTACGATTCGTACGTATCTTCTTTTAGTTTTAAACCTAACATTACACGATAAGGGAAATTCTTTTCTCGATACAAATATGAATTATTTAAATCAAATTGACTGAAAAGTTTATACATTATACTTATATGTATTTATTATGTACATACACCATTTATTAGCTTAATATTAAATACATAATTAAACAGATTGTAATAACAAAATAATTGTGTATACATACATTCTATATTTTCTATGCACATAATACATATATGTAATGTTACCTTGCAGCGTCGTTGATTTGGCCTCTAATTTCCTATTGGCTGGCAATTCAGTGCCAAAGAAGAATAGCGATGTGTGAGTAAGAAATACGAGCAAAAACCACTGATCTGTAAGATACAATAGATTGTTATAGATTATGAGTGACTTATTTTAATTCTCCCTCTTGCGGAGACAGTCAGGAAAGAATGATAACAACGCCCTCTGGTATCGTGAATTATTAACCTACACTGTGGCATACAAATTTGTGAAAGTATCCACTCTTTAAATATATTTATGTTTTGTACACAGTCGTGTATACATATACATATATAACAGCTTGTCGCTTCGTGTATTTTGATGCTGCCTCTTGACGTGAGCGAAGTATAGTAATTATTAAGCGGGATACTGACATTAATATGAATTCTGAAGCAAGTTTGTGATCTTGATCATAATTAATTGAATTATATTTAATATATTAAAGAAAGTGTTTTATAAATAAATATTCTTTACACTTATGAAAATGTACGTGTTTTATATTCACTTTAAATGAATAACGTTAGAAATAACTACAATATAATTTGCTGACGATACAAAATACAAGTGATATGCAATTAGAATAAATATAAAATAAAAAATATGGCTGAGACATTAATTCCATTTGTATATTGGGCTCAAACAGAAAGTCAAGTTACGTTAAAGGTAGATTTGACCAATGTTAAGGTATGTATTTTGAATAATACACATATACAATGTATACTAATATTTATAAAATTTCATTAACATTAAATGTATTTTTTAGGATTTAGATGTTGATATGGATGAGAAGAGGTTGTGCGTAAATGCACATGGACAAGGTGCCAAAGGTTTCAATAATTATCGCTTTATCCTTGATTTAAATTCATCCATTAACACTGAGGTAACGTATGCAAGATTGCGACATATGAAACATTACACTGCAGTATTGGTATATCATGGTTTTGGTATTGGTATATCATGGTATTGTTTTGGAAATTTTTTAAGTAGTTGTAGTAGTTATTTTATTATATTATATAACATAGAATAACAAAGGCACTTTTCTAAGGAATGTATAGGCATTTATAAATGAATGTTTATGAATACGCA